TTTACAAAGCCAGCTGAATAAATAATAATGAGAGGATTATTTGTCTAGGAAAATTGGTCCACAGAGAAAGACTGAGCATCCCATTATCCCTTCTGTACATTTTTTACACATTTTTCTAATTGTATAAAGGGTGATGGCAGTTTAAAAATATAAAACACAGGCCAATTACTTTGGGGAGAAAAAGCTTAAAAATCACATAGCAGACAATAAATGTTATAATCTAAATTGAAAATACAGCCTAAAGCACTGATTATTCTCTTTTATAGGTTAGTGATCTTTGTTGTCATTGAATGAAATGTACTTTTTTAGCATGAGTATGAATGGTAAAAATGATGTGAATTATAATTTTTATGTAGATAATTTTATTACCTGGAAGGTTGCATTTTAATTATCATTCATACTAGGGTAAAATTGTCTAAAGGCCACAATAAAAGGGCTATTTTCCCCTTCATGTTAATAGAAAGTATATTAACAGACCTAAAAGCTAAAATAACTTCCAACACTCAGCGTGTTAGCATGCTAACATTTAGTGGAAATTTAATTTTGGTATAAATTTGGTTGGGGTCAAATCTTGGATGTTCAAGATTAGATTATTTTATCTGTATTAATTTATTTATCCTCATCATTTTTGCATATTATCTTTATTTAATTTTATCATTTTTTCTATTCAATTAAAAAGTAATAACAGGATTCTGGGAAATGGTGGAGGAGAAAGCACCAGAAATATGTTTCTCTACCTGGATAACAATTTAACTGGTAGAATCTGTCTGATGTAACTATTTTGAAATTCTGGAGTCTATCAAAGGCTTGTAACTTCCAGGGAAGTTCCAAAGGAAGGATTGGACAGAAAATTGTAGTTAATTTCAGTCCATTTCAGATCTTAACACAGTAGCAGTTATCCATCTCCCACCTGTCAGCTCTGTGGCAGGCAGTTATGCATGTGTTCCTAGAGCAGCTTGCACACAGCTTGTGGGCGCAAGGGTGAAAATAAAGGACCCTGTTCTCCAAATATTAGGGATATGTGCTCTGTTACTTATGATCACGGTGCAAACAAAGGGGCAGCACCAATTGTTTTACCTTCTCCCTTTCTGCAAATCCCTTGCTACTGGGCTAAAGTGACTAGAAATTTTTTTTTAAATGAGGATTTTTCCCCCTTTATTTTTCTTTTCTTTCTTTTGTGAGAGACACTGAAGAACAGAACATTCTAAACCAACCTCATATACAGGGAAAATTAGAAAGTCACCTCTCGTGCTCAGAAAAGACCTGAGAAGTTTACATCTTAAGTTGATACAGTCTATAGCAACCAAAGTAACAAAAACAAAAAGAAAGGACAGCAAACACAAGAAAGTGGGGACTTTCATTTTCAGAGTTACTACATTATTAGATTCAAATATCAACTTTTCATTTAAAAAAATTGCGTGCCGGCATGTGGCATGATGGTTAAGGATGCTGGACTCCCACATGGCCGACCACAGTTCAAGTCCTGGACCGGTAGCTTCATTTCTTTGGGACCAGCAGTTAGCGTAATGGCTATGTCACTGGACTTCCATGTAGCCGACCACGATTCGAGTCTTGGACCTGGTGGCTTAAACTCATGCCAGGCGCGTGTGCGTGCGTGCCCAAGATCCCGAGAAGAGAACAGAGGAGAAGGGATTGTGGCATAGCCATCCCCCCTGGGTGGTGATTTCTCACTTTCTGTCTCTCTGTCTCTCTCTCTCTCTTTCTGGCGAGCACATGCACCCTATAGCAAAAACCTCTCAAAAAAAAAAAAAAAAAAAGAAACAAACTGCTAAGTATAGTTATTTAAAAGGAAAAAAAAATAAGCTGAAAAACAACCTGACAGAAAATGTCCTGGAAATGAATTAGTGGAAGATCTACTAGAAAAAAGACTTTAAAATAATTATCTTAAAGATGCTCAATGAACTAAAAAAAAATTGTGGGAAAAACTGAGAAAATTATGTATGAACAAAATAGACTATCAATAAAGACCAAACCTATGAGGAAACCAAAAGAAAATTGTGAAAATAGTGAGTGCAGAGTTGAGCAAGCAGAGAAGAAACTCAGGAAACCCACGCATAGGACAACAGATATTACTGAACTTGAGAAACAGAAAGCAAGAAGACTGAGGAAAATTAAACAGAGTCTAAGAGAGCTCTTGAACACAGTCAAATGCACCAACATATGCATTATGGTCTCCGAGAAGAAGAAGCAAGAAAGGGGAAGACACAATATTTTGTAAAATACTTTCCCAAAACTTCTTAAATTTTATGGAAGATATAATTAAAAACACCTATGAAATCAGGTTAAAAAAAAAAAAAAGAAAACCAAAATGAGTCATGTATAAGAAATCCTCAATGAGATTATCAGTAGTGACTTTTTTTGGAGAGGTTTTTTTTTTTTTTTTTTTTTTTTTTTTTTTTTTTATGGGCCACGTTGTTGACCAGACAGACAGAGACATAGATACGAAAAGCGAGAAATCACCCCCCAGGGGGGATGGCCATGCCACAATCCCTTCTCCTCCATTCTCCTCTTGGAATCTTGGGCACACATGCACATGCACCTGGTGTGAGTATTAAACCACCGGGTCTGGGACTCGAACCGTCATCAACTACATGGGCATCCAGCGACATAGCCATTATGCTAACTGCTGGTTCCAGATTATTAGTAGGTTTCTATAAGAATCTTTGGAGGCCAAAAAGCAGTGAATCAGTATTGTCAAAGTGCAAAAGGGGAGTAGGAAATCTCATTGAATAATCCCATATTTATCAAAACTGTTCTTGGGAACCAGCAGTTAGCGTAATGGCTATGTCGCTGGACTCCCACGCAGTCGACTGCGGTTCACGTCACGGGCCTGGTGGCTTAAAACTCACGCCAGGCGCGTGTGCGTGCATGCCCAGGATCCCAAGAGGAGAATGGAGGAGAAGGGATTGCGGTGTGACCATCCCCCCTGGGGGATGATTTCTCGCTTTCTGTCTCTATGTCTCTGTCTGTCTGGCGAGCGCACGCGTCCTATAGCGAAAATCTCTCCAAAAAAAAAAAAAAAAACTGTTCTTCAAAAATGAAGCATGAATTCCCAGATAAACAAAAACTTAGAGTTTATTAATTCTAGACCGTCCTACAAAAAAATGCTGAAGGGATTCCTGCAGGTCAAAATGAAAGAACGCTAATCATTATGGGAAGCTGTAGGAAGGCATAAAGATCTTCGTAAAGGTAAATACAGGGAACAGTATAAATCTAAATTATTTTTTTGGCATAATATTTAATACATTTATAAAACAGCTAATCTAAAAGTTAGTTAGTATGGTTGCAAATTTGTTTTGAAAGTGCATATTCTGTTTTCTACAAAATTTAAAAAACTAATGCTTTAAAAATATTAGCTTATCTTTTTGGACATATAGTGGATAAAAATATAATTTTATGCATTAACAACTAAAAAATGAAGACAGAGCTGTCAAAGGAGTAGGGTTATGTTATGAAGTTAGGCTGGTATGCATTCAGATTAGAGTGTTATAACTTTAGGATGTTAAATATAATTTCTATGGTAACTACAAATGAAATAACTGAAGAATATACTCAGAAGGAACCAAGATAGAAATTTAAATGTTTCCTAAGTACAAAAGAAGACAGTAGTGCAGAAAATAAGACACCAAAGTTATAAAGTATATGTAAAAAAAAAAAGTAGAAAACTGTCAGAAACAAGCCTTTTCATATTAGTAATCACTTTTTGGAGGGGGTAAATTTGCATATGTGCATGTGTGCTTACCAAAGGGAGAGAGAGAGAGAGAAAGAGAGAGAGAGAGAGAGAAGGAGAGAGTGAGAAAGGATCCCTCAGGATGGATGGCCACTTTGCAATTCCTTCTATTCCGTTCTCCTCTAAGGATTTTGGGCACATTTGCACAGGCTCCAAGAGTGTTTTTCTTCAAGTCAAGGGGTCAGGACTCATATCAGGCAGTCGATCATGTGGGACCCAGCTGCCTTAACCACCACACTAACTGGCTGATCCCATGTAAGTAATCATTTCAAATGTGAATAAATTATACTCTTCAATCTAAAGACAGACTTCCAGAATGGACAGGAAAAAGGATGTAACTACATGCCATGTACAAGAGACTCACTTTAGACTAAAAAAAAAAAGTGGATGTGGCTATACTAATATCAGAAAAAATATATTTTATATTTAAAAAGTTTATAAGGGACAAAATACATTATTTACTAATAAAAGGCTTAATATGGAAGAATATGTGTATATTTATATATATTTACACACACACACACAGCACTTTATGCAGCTAATGAAAAACCATCAAAGTATGTGTAGAAAAAATGAACAGAATTGAAGGGAAAAATAGTCAATTCTTCAATAATATTTAGAAATAAGTTGTAAATTAACAAACTGGATATCCTGGTTGAAATGGATGAATTCCTAGAAACACAAAATCTAGCAAGATTAAATCATGAATGAATAGATTTAAGTAGACCTATAATTAGCAACGATATTGAATCAGTAATCAAAAATCTCCAAACAAAGAAAATCTGAATTCTTCTCAAATTTTTCCCAAAAGCTCAGAAAGGAAGATACACGGCCAAACTCATTTTATGATGCCAGCATTTTGCTCATATCAAAGCCAAATAAAGACACTACAAGAAAAGAAAATTACAGTCCAATATCCTTTATGAGCATCAATGCCAAAATCCTCAACAAAATACTAATGAACAGAATTAATCAGCATATTCAAAAGATTATATACCATGGCCAAGGGAGATATATTCCTGTAATGTGAAGATTTTTCCACATACCAAAATCACTCAATGTGAAACACTACATTGGTGGGGGGGCATATAATCATCTCAACTGATATATAAATTTACATAACACATTTATGATAAAAAACACTCAACAAACTAAGAATATAAGTATACTACCTCAATGTAGTAAGAGTCATATTTTTAAAATTCTCATAAGTCATAATGCTCAATAGTGAGAGACTTAAAAGACTTACCTTTGAGATCAGGAACAAGGAAAGGATGCACTTGCAACACTTCTATTCAACATCCTATTAGAAAGTGTAGCCAGAGTCATTAGAAAATGATAAGAGAAAAATGAAATTATCTGTGTTCACAGATGACATGACTTTACAAGTAGGAAATTCTAAAAATCTTACAGAAAACTGTTAAAACTAAAGAACAAATTCTGCAAAGTAGCAAGATATGGAGTCAAGGTGAAAAAAAGTTATTTTTCTATGTAGTAACAATATACAATTGAAAAAGGAAATTAATAAAATTATTTCATTTATAATAGCATAATAAAATACTTAGAAATTAAGTTAACCAAGGAGATGAAATACTTATTCAATTAAAGCTATAAAACATTCTGAAAAAAACTTAAAAAGACATTAATAAATGAAAAGACATTCCATGTTATTTGGAAGCCTTAATATTAAGATGTCAATATATGCAAAGTGATTTAATGGAATCCCTTTCATAGTTCATATGATGAGCCCATCCTCAGTGGCACAGCCCAGTAGTGCTAGGGTATTTATGGAAGATGGAGTTTGGTTCCCAGATTGACCTTTATGTGTCAGGCGCACACATGTGCCCATAATCCTATGGGACTGGGAAAGGCTGACAGGGAAGATCATGGTATGAGGCCCGGTTGAGAGTGTTTGTCTTTTACACTTTCTCTTTCTCTCATTAAGAAATATATACATTCAGGGACCAGCAGTTAGCATAATGGCTATGTCGCTGGACTCCCATGTAGTTGACGGCGGTTCGCGTCCCAGACCCGGTGGCTTAAAACTCACACCGGGTGTGTGTGCATGCATGCTCAAGATCCCGAGAGGAGAGTGGAGGAGAAGGAATTGCGGCATGGCCATCCCCCCTGGGGGGTGACTTCTTGCTTTCTGTCTCTGTCTCTGTCTCTGTCTGTCTGGCGAGCGCACGTGCCCTATAGCGAAAACCTCTCCAAAAAAAGAAAGAAAGAAATATATACATTCACACACACACAAAAAAAGCTTAGTTCCTTTTCTATTTCAGACATAGACAAATTTATCCTAAAATTTATATAAAATACCAAAAGACCCTAAATATCAAAAAGAATTCTGAGAAAAACAAAGATGGAGGACTCTAATTTCCTAATTTCTAAATTTATTACAAAGCTACATTAATCAAACCAGAGTGCTATGAGCATAGGTATGGGCGTAAAGACACATATAGACCAATGAAACAGAATGGAGAGACGAGGAAGAACCTTCACATATATTCTCAAGCAATTTTTGACAGGAGCACCAAGACCACTTAATGGAGGTAGGACAGTATTTTCAACAAACGGTGCTGGGAAACATGAACAGCCATATGTAAAAGTATAAATTTGTATCGTTGCCTAGTGCTATATACAAAAATTTTAAAGCAAAAATGTATCAAAGACAATAATGTAACCTAAAACTATAAAATTCTTTGAAGAAAACAGGGCAAAACTTGACAACATTGGATATGACACCAAAGGCACAGAAAATAAAAGTAGACAAAGTGAGTTTTCTGAAAATTTTGAGTTATGCATCAAAAGACAAACAGACTAAAAAGAAAACCCACAAAGTGGGAGAAAATAGTTTTAAATATCTCTGATAAAGGATTAATATCTATATAATGTAGAGAAAATGCTTAAAACTAGGCACTGAAAAAGCAACCTGGTTCAAAAATGGTCAAAGCACTTTAACAGACATTTATTTTATGAGAAAAACTTATTATTTTTTATTTAATTTTCTTTTATAGATTCAATCACATAAGTCACTTAGCTTTAAAAGTGAAATAAAGGTATGCAGAGGGACCAGAAGATGGTGTAATGGTTATGTTGCTGGACACTCACATAGTAGACTGAGGTTTGAGTGCTTGACCTCGCAGTTTAAAACTCATGCCAGGCACATGTGCACATGTGCCCGAAATCCTGAGAGGAGAATGGAGAAGAAGAGATTGTGGCATGGCCATCCTTCTGGGGGTGGGGAGCAGATGATTTCTCACTTTTTGTCTCTCTGTCTCTTTGACAAGTGCATGCACCCTGTAGCAAAAACCCCTAAAAAAAAAAAAAAAAAGAAAAGAAAAAGAAGAAAAATGTATGACTCGGCCAACCAGCAGGTGGCATGGAGGTTAAAGTACTGGACTCACACATGGTTGACCAAGTTTGAGTCCTGGACACCTGGACATGCTGGTTTGAAAATCATACCAGGTGCATGTGGATGTGTGCCCACAATCCCAGGAGAAAAATGGAAGAGAAGGAATTGCAGTGCGACTATGCCTCCCCCCTCCCCGGGTGGGAGGGGTGATTTCTCACTTTCCCTCCCTCTCCTTGTCTCTCTTTTTCTCTCTCTGGTGAGCACACATATCCTATGCCAAAAACCTTTTTAAAAAGTGTGCAAGTATCTAATAGGCACAGGGAAAGATGCTCAACATCACTAATCATTAAAGAAATGTAAATCAAAACTACCAAGATATTTAATTTCATAGTTGTTAAAATGGCTACTATCATAAAAACACAAAATAAAAATGTCAGTAAAGATATGAAGAAAGGTGAAACTTGGGTACTGTTGGCAAGTATGTAAATAGTACAACTGCTGTGGAAAGCAATATGATAGTTCCTTAAAAAATTAAAAATAGTATTACTATATAGTTCAGCAATTCCTCTTCTGGGTGCAACTCAAAGGAACTGGAAGCAGAGTCTTGAAGATGTATTTGTATACCCCTATTCATAGAACATTTTTAACTATAGCTAAAACATGGAAGCAACCTAAATGTTCATCGATAGAAGAATGAATACGCAAAATGCCATCAATACATCTATACAATTTTTTTTCCATTTACAGAGTGAAGTGATGTTATTGCAGGTAAGGAAAAGATGCCTAATTTATTTCTCATAGTATCAATGGGGATGACTAAATATGTACTGGTGATTTTGGGAGTTAACAGTCACTTTCCCCCTCATCAAGATCAATACTGATGACACAGGAAAGCCAATTTTTCATTAAGCAAAGTCAATAATGATGACACATTTGTATAGAATGAGAAAACAAGAGCTGCCACAAACTCTTTTGAAACTTATAATACATACAAACAAGGTTTATGAGAACAAAGCTAATCAAAATGGCTAGGTATAAATAGACTTAAAAAACATCTCCAAGGTCATGAACACTTCTTATTTAATTCATTTTTTGTTTATAGGAAGTTCTATTACTGTTTTTCCCAGTTTGTAGAAGCAACACCCTTTTACCCATTTTTTCCCCAGACTGATTGACTAGGTCAAAGTGGACCTTGATTCATCAGATGACCAAAAACCAGTCAGGATACATTTTAGAAATATGAATATTGTGAATGGCAGTATTTGGATTTATAACTTCTAATAATGAACCGTAGGTGGTGAGAATGTTGTGCTATGTGCAAGAGGAAGAAGAGAGAGAAAGCCTTCTTACAGAAATGGCTGTGAAAAATCACCTTCTATTATATTTGCACGGATTTTGGTTACCCTGAGATTATGGCATAGTTTTCATGTGCCTAATAATAATGGCCAAGACTATACTGAATACCATGACAGATGCTTTTAGACATGTTGTATCACCTCTCTCCTTTGATCCCTCAATTTTGGGACGCAGAAATGATCCCACCCTTGTACTCAAATGTGAAAATTAGGCTCAGAGAGATTTTATAAACTTGCCCAGTTAGCAAGTGGAGGAACTCTAAGACCTGAAGACACATGCTGATGCACAGGGCATCTTATCCATTAGAACCTGGGCCATCCTGCTACTGGATTGACCTGTTTACCTCGTTCCTAATTTTTAAGGGCCTCTGATTATTTTAAAGGCTCTACTGCTAAAGACAATTTTTATAAGAACTATGTTAAGTAAAGAACTATATTAAGACAAGAGCCGGAAGGAACCCCATTATCAATTGTCATTAAATTACAGTATTTATCAAGTACTGTTTTACATTTTTAAAATATTTACTGAGAAAAAAGGATCTTGTTGAAGGTTATCTAGTGCTGATGTGTGTGTGTGTGTGTGTGTGTGTGTGTGTGTATGTGCGCAATGGAATATATTTTCACTGAATAGCATTAAGTTTCATGGAGACAAGTTAGAATTATTCATGCTTATTGGCTTATAAAAAGAACAAAATTGTTTATCTTGTCTGTATTTTAAAAGAGTAGTCATGAGATGATTGATATGTTTGTATATGATTATAATAATTTCTGAACCACTTTGCCATAAAATTTTACAATAGGAAAACAAAAATAAGAACAATATAAAAACAACTTAGAGCAGAGATATGTTAGTAGGATAGATAATTTCCTGAAAAGGGAGAGATCTGAACATCTTAGAAGAGACTCTCGGGGCCAGCAGGTGGTGTGGTGGTTAAAGGAGCTGGACTCCCACATGCCTGACCACAGTTTGGGTCCTGGACCAGGTGACTTGCTTTCTCACTTTCCCTCTCTCTCTCTTCTGATCAAATTAAATAATAATAAATAAATAAGCTTAAACAAAATATTTTAAAAAGAATAGTTCATTTAAAACAAAATATCACTCTTCTCATATCCTTGTTTTCCTTGACTCTTCTGTTAATGCTGTTTAAGTTCCATCTTTAGTGTATCATCCTTTTGGATATTATACATTTAGGTCTTCAAGAATCCTCCTTAAAATTACAAATTTTCACAAGAAGTGGCACTCCCTGTAAACATTGTCAATTTAGGATGGTGGGTAACATTTTTAGTGCAAAAATCATGTGATAAGACCCAGCCTTACATATTTGTCTTCAATGATATTTAGGGGATGAAGAGTTATAAAGAATTGGTGAAGGAGGAAGTGGAATAAAGTTGAAGGTAGCATTTGTGAGACTATGTTTTATTTATTTCATGAAGCTTAGCATAACCTTTGCTTTTTTGTTCATGCTAATTATGTTTATTGCAGAGAGGGCTATGTTGTCAGAGGCAGAGTGTGGTGATTTAAGAAGCGTACGTGTAGAAATAAGCTGGGATTGGAATCCTGAATTGATTCCAACTTGGTCAATAACTGTGAAA